CACCCCACTCCAGCAACCCACGTCAGCGCGTCGCTCCCGGGGTGACTTCCCTCTGCATAACGATATTGCCACAGTTGCAGAAGCAGGGGGGGGAGAGATCTCTGTTGCATCAAAGAAGTTTATTGCATCAGAGCGTTCCCGCCATGGCAGGAAAAGCGCGCCAAGCAGAGAACGATCTGAGCGCTAAAATTACTTCAATTATTTAATACGTATTAACCGTAGATGGTAAATTACCATGACGCGTAAAAGAACACAAGGCACAGAAAAAGACCATCACGCATGATCGTAATTGTGACATTGGGCCGGCCTCGCTCGACTACTCACCAAATTCGCAAAATGAGAATGAATTTTCCGCTAGAACATGAGAAGATACATCGCCTTGTTTTCTGTCTCTTGTGTATGTGGTGAGTAATGGAGCGAGGAGGCCCATCCCATTGGCATGATTAGATCGACGCAAGAAGACCCCCTTCCCTTTCTGCTTGTTTTCTTCTTCCCCCCCCCCCCCTCTCCTCTCTGTGCTTATTTTCATTTCACGCCTTCGACCATGGTCGGTGTTTCCTCTTGTCTTCGCAAACTGTTTTTTTTCTTTTTTTTTCTTTTTTTTTTTTGGTTAGAAGATCGCAACTTGTTCTCGAACACAACTCGGTAGCGATCCCTACCTTTCTTTTGTTTTCTTTTTTTTTTCCCGATCCCTGCCTGGTAGTTCCGACGATTGGGGAAGTAACGCGCCACCAAGAGATCGCCTTCCTCTTCCTTCCTCTCCGCCCCCTTCCTTCCCCCTCTCTCCCCTCCCTCCCCGCCCCCTTCCCCCTCTCCCCCGTCCCTCTTCCGCCTCCTCCCCCTTCTCTTGCCTCCCTCCCCGCTCCCTTCCCCCTCTCCCGCCTCCCTCCCCCCTCTCCCCCCGCCCTCCCCGCTCCTTTTCCCCTCTCTCCCCTCGCTCAAAGCCCTCAATCCTAGACCACAAGCTAAACTTCATTTGTGTGTGTGGTGGTGGTGGTGTGTGTGTGTGGGTGGGTGGGTGGGTGGGGGGGGTAGCACTCCCTGGTGAACGAGAGAACACTTTTTGCCCGCCAGCGGGGAAAGGAGAAAGTCGTTAAATTTCCAGAAAGATTATAAGGCGGGGAGTCAAGACCCGAAACACGATGGTTACGGGCCTCGCTCCACCACTCACCACATGCGCAATAAACAAAAATTGAGGTCGTGTATCTGTCTATGTTCTAGCGGAAGATTCGTTGTCATCTTGCACATTTGGTGCGTGGTGGTGCGAGGCCCTAATTCCTTCGCAAAGCATGGGTACTCTTTACAAGTACACCAGTGTTCCAGTGTCCCAATGTCCCAGACTTCCAGTGTTCCACTTCCCCAGCAAAAAGGATACTTCCCAGTGTTCCAGTGTCCCAGGCTTCCCAGTGTCCCAATGTCCCAGACTGAAAGCAAACCAAGTCGTGCAAACGGTGGTGATAAAATAGAATTTGATTTTTTTCCTTCTTTTAGTTCTTTTAATTAAAAATAGAATTTGAGTTCGTCCGAGATAGGAAGGCAGTAATTCCCTGCCTTGAATTTACTGTATTAGGAAATACTGTAATAATGCGCTGCGGGGGAGGAAGTCGTCCTGGCGGGAAAAGAAGTTAATTTCCTGCCGTAGGAGGGAGTTTCAGCTAGAGAGAAATGTCTAGAAAATTATAAATAGCGGATGGAAAGCTGCGTACGCACTAAAAAAAAAAAAAAAAAAAAAAAAATCCTGCCGGAGGAGGGAGTTCCGATTCTCTGGAGGCTAGAGAGCGAATCCTCTCGATCTATCGCGAACATACTCTCCGTCTTCACCCGAATAGAACGCCCGGTCATTATCCCTGCATCTGGACTAAATAGTGCGCCAAATACGCCTCTATATTGAACGGCCGTTCTATTCGGGGTGTCGATAAGTGAAGTGTAATTAGTATATTCGCAAGCCGCGGCAACAATTCTGTGCTTTGGACGGAAGGAAAACGAACTTCTTGCCCCTGAACGAAGGAAGGAAATCGAGTATGTTTGTTTAATGTACAAAAAAAAAAAAAAAGACGAATCTCTTGCGGAGAGGAGATGATAGTCAGGGGAGGGGGGGCGACGGTAAATTACAGTACCTTCCTGGTGCCCAAGAGCGCCTTGCTACAGGGGTATAAATTTTCTGGGCTCGTACACTTTCTAAGGAGAGGGGGGGGGGGGATCGTTTCTAGGGGTCATTACGGCTGTATCTATACTGAAAGTTGCCCCAAATACAGCTACGATGAACGGGCGTTATATTCGGGTGAAGACGGTAGTGCAGGGCGGCCCATACACCCGAAATCTGGGGCCATCTCCTATCTCAGTCGATCGGGGGGGGAAGAGGAGAGGGAAAAAGTCCCTGTATCCGCAATGGTCGCACATACCAAGTTATACATCTCCTCTATAGCTTACAATCAACATATTCTTTATTTAAAAAAAAAAAAAAAAAAAAAAAGTGAAGAAAGAAAAGAGCAAACAATGGAGAAGAAAGAAGAGCAATACGGAGCAACGAGTAACCAAGCTGAGAAGTTCTATTCGTCACGAAATCGGTCGCAACGACAGTCGGGGGTAATTAGTAAAAACACACACTTAAAAAAAAAAGCTGAATAAACAAAAAAAGAGGTCGTTTAAAAAAAAAAAAAAAAAAAAGAACAAAATGGTTGCCGCGACAGCCAGCAGCCAGCAGGGAGAATGGCCCAAGTCGGATTTCGACAGACCTTCCCGTCTAGTTCAAAGTGCACCAAAAAAAAAAAAAAAAAAAAAAAGTGCACCAAAAAAAACGAAAAAAAAAGAAAAAAAG